AACTTTTTCATGGGTTTTTACAATAGAGGTCTCATACAATATTTGTCCTTTTGTGATTGACTTACTTCACTCAGCATAGTGTCCTCCAGTTTCATCCATGTTATGAGATGGCTTCACAGATTCATCATTGTTCTTTCTCGTTGCATAGTTCTGCTGTATATTTAAATGATTAAAAACGAGATTCACATAATAACTTTTTAAAACAAAAATTCAAGTACTTGTAAGCTCCAGCTTTGTTTTCTGTAGCTTTTGGTTAAACTTTGTCCCTCGTTAAGCAGGAAAGCTAATCAAGACCCCAGTTGGTGAACTCGCTCTGGCTCTTAGTCCTCGCTGGAGAACAGGGTTTTTCGGCACTGTTGGCACTTAAGACTGGATAAGTTTTGTTGTAAGGCTGTCCTCTGGATTATAGGATCTTCAGCAGCATCCCTGGACTCTATCCCCTAGATGCCAGTGGCACTCCCCATTTGTGACAACCAAAATGTCTCCAGACATGGCCCAGTGTCTCCTGGGGGGAAGAGTTGCCCCCAGCTGGGAACCACTGCTCTGCAGTCACCTGGTGCACAGATGCTGCCCGTTTGTGGAGCCTTGGTTCTCAGATGTGAATTCAGCAGCTGCTTTTGATTGAACGCTGGTTCCCACACTCACGTCCAGAGCCATCGGCCAACCAGAAGGCATATGGCTCTAGATCTGTTCTGTGTTTTCTTCTGCATCTCTAGGAAATTTGGCTACGTGAACTTTAAAGCTGCTGAAGACCAGGAAAAAGCCCTGGAACTTAGTGATACAAAGGTCCTTGGCTATGAAATTCAATTAAAGAAACCAGAGGGCGAGGAGACAAAGAAAGGTGTGCATGCAGGTCATCTGCTCACAGATACCTATGCGTCTAGAAGTGTTTTGGTTTCCTAGTGCTACTGTAAACCCTGTAGGGCACTTCTACTCTGTCCTATAGGGTCGCTGTGAGTTGGAATCGACTCCAAGGCAATGGGTTTTAGTGCTGCTATAACAGAAATGCCACAGGTGGGTAGCTTTAAGGAATAGACATTTATTTGCTCACAGTTGAGGAGGCTGGAAGTCCAAATTCAGGGTGCCAGCTCTAGGGGAAGGCTTTCTCTGTCCACTCTGGGGAAAGGTCTTTGTCTCTTTTCAGCTTCTGTTCCTTGGTTCCTTGGTGGATCTTCATGTGGAGTTTGTCTTCCCTTCAGTTTGTGCTCCCTTCTCTGTGCCTAACCTGCTCTTTTTATATCTCAGAAGTGATTGGTTGAAGACACACCATAAGTTGATTTGTCCTCATTCAAATAACTAAGAAAACTCTGTTCTCATGGGATTACATCCATAGGTATACCTGTTGCCACCAAGTGGATTCTGACTCATACCAACCCTATGAGACAGAGTAGAACTACTCTGTTTTTTGTTTTTGGGAGGACACAATTCAGTGCACAGCAGGCAGGAAAGAAATATCACGTTCTTCCTTACTCAGTGCAAGTATTCCTCGGTTTCCAACAGGTAATCTCCAGCTTCCACAGTATGAGCTTTATCCACCTTTCTTTCATGCCCTGGGCTCCAGCTGCACAGTCAACTTTCTTTGTCATATGTTCTTTCCAGGACACATTCCTTGGCTACCTGTATCCCATCGTTTGGGTCTGAGCTTAAATGTCACTTAGATCAGAGAGGTTTTCCCTTACCCCCTAGTCTAGTTTAAGTCTTCTGTACCATTGTTGTTGTTACGGTCATCAAGTCTGTTTTGTCAAGTCGGTTCCAACTCCTAGCAACCCTGTATACAACAAAAGGAAACACTGCCGGGTCGTATCCAACTGTAGTTGCTATGTTTGAGCCCATTGTTGCAGCCACTCTGTCAGTCCATCTCGTTGAGGGCCTTCCTCTTTTTTGATGACCCTCTACCAAGCATGATGTCGTTCTCCAGGGACTGGCCCTCCTGGTAACATCTCCAAAGTATGTAAGAGGAAGTCTCACCATTCTCGCTTCTGAGGAGCTTTCTGGCTGTACTTCTTCCAAGACAGATTTGTTCGTTCTTCTGGCAGTCTGTGGTACATTGAATATTCTTTGCCAACACCATAATTCAAATGCATCACTTCTTCTTCTGTCTTCTTTATTCATTGTCCAGCTTTTGCATGCATATGAGGTGCTTGAAAATATCATGGCTTGGGTCAGGTGTACCTTAGTCCTCAAAGTGACATCTTTGCCTTCAAACACTTTAAAGAGGTCTTTTGTGGCAGATTTGTCCAGTGCAATATGTTGTTCGATTTCTTGACTGCTGGATGTTGATTGTGGCATTAATTTTCAGGTAAAATGAAATCCTTAACAACTTCAATCTTTTCTTTGCTTATCATGATGTTGTTTATTTGTCCAGTTGTGAGGATTTTTGCTTTCTTTATGTTGAGGTATAATCCATACTGAAGGCTGTAGTCTTTGATGCTCATCAGTAAGTGCTTCAAGTCCTCTTCACTTTCAGCAAGCAAAGTCCTGTCATCTGCATATCGCAGGTTATTAATGAGTTTCCTCTAATCCCAGTTCCGAGTTCTTCATATAGTCCAGCTTCTCTGATGATTTGCTCAACATACAGTTCGAGTAAGTATGGTGAAAGGTTACAACCCTGATGCACACCTTTCCTGATTTTAAACCACACCATATTCCTTTGTTCTGTTCGAACACTGCCTCTTGGCCTATGTACAAGTTCCAAACGAGCACAATTAAGTTTTCTGGAATTCCTATTCTTTGCAATGTTATCAATAATTTGTTATAATCCACACAGTCGAATGCCTTTGCATAGTCAATAAAACACAGGTAAACAAACATCTTTCTGATAGTCTCTGCTTTCAGCCAAGATCCGTCTGACATCAGCAGTGATATCCCTGGTTCCACATCCTTTTCTGAATCTGGCTTGAATTTCTGGCAGTTCTTCTCTACTGTAGTTTCTCATTTCCCCTTTGATTTTTCCTTCCTGGCACTTACTGCAATTTGTGATTATGTGATTCGTTGTTTAATAGCCTTTCCCTAACAAGACCCCATTCCCAAGAGCAGAGGCCCAGTGTGTATTTTCACAGCAAGCCCCTAGCACAGGCCCTGGCACTGAGTAGGTATTCAGATATTGGTCAAATGAATGACTGTGTACTGTTTGTTTCCGCTCAGCAACTCTATTTTTTTCTGTCTTACAGGACTTTTTTTAAAAATTATTTTTTTGTTTTGTTGAAAATATACACAGCAAAACACACTCCAGTTTGACAATTTCTACATGTACGATTCAGTGACATTGATAACATTCTTCAAGTTGTACAACCATTCTTGCCCTCCTTTCCTGAATTTTTACTCCCCGATTAACATAAACTCACTGCTTCCTAAGTTCCCTATCTACTCTTTCGAGTTGCTGTTGTCAGTTTGATCCCATCTATAGATCTATTTATATGATCACATATAGATAGATCTTAAACCAAACAGTCATTTGGTTTAAAGAAGATTTCAGGGAACACTTTTGGTTTAAGGTTCAAAGATAATCTCAGGGCAGTAGTTTAGGGGGTTTATCTAGCTTCAGTGGCTCCTGAAAGTCTGGATCCCATGAGAATTTGAAATTCTGTTCCACATATTCTTCCTTTTGATCAGGATTCTTCTATAGAATCTTTGATCAAAACATTCAGTAATTGTTTAGGGTACTCTTGATGCTCATTAGATCTGAACCCAGACCAAAATTATTATTTTGTGTTTCTCTAGATCGAGATGCCAGGACACTTTTGATCAAGAACCTGCCTGATAAAGTCACTCAGCATGCATTAAAAGAAGTATTTGAGGATGCTTTTCAAGTCAGATTAGTGAGCAAGGCTGGGATGAGTAAAAGGTATGTTTTGTACCTCGTACTGAAAAAGAATATATGTCTGCTGGACTCAAGCATAATGGAATTTCGTTACATTCTCCTGAATCACTTATGCCTGATTTTAGAGAAATAAGTTGTTATACAACATTTCTACCAGCAGGCATATAAAAAGCTGAAGGAGGCACTGCAGGTGGACTGCCAAAGGCTTCAGAAAGCTTTAGTGGTGTCATAGAGAGATGAAAACTTACTCTGCTGTCAAGTATAAGATTGCAGATTGGAAGAATTCAGTCATAGATTATCTCTTTTCCTCCCTCTCCTGGGCTGACTCGAATAAAAACAACACATATACTTGGAGAGGTACCAAAGAATAACAGTGGATTAGATTGTTAGGATCGTGTTGTAACTAATTAATGAAACACTGTCAGTATGTATTGAGGGTTTGGTAAACAAACCAGGAAACAGTTGGAGGTGGAGCCATTTCTAACTCATGGCAACTCCATGTGTGTCAGAGTAGAACTGTGCTCCACAGAGTTTTCAGTGTATGATTTTTTTAGAAGTAGATCACCAGGCCTGTCTTCTGAGGTACCTGGGTGGGCTCAAAATGACAACTTTTTAATTAGCAGCTAAGCGCTTAACCACTTGTGCTACCCACGGTAAGAGAATAAATATAGTGAAATTAGAGAATATGAAGTAGAATGGCTTTTGAAGGAAATCTCAGTGAGGGGAAAATTGCATATTGGAATTGCAGATATAGTTTAGCTAAATTTGTTAGTATAGGTGAAATCTAACATAACCTACACCAGTATGCTCTAATTAACATACCTGTTGCCGTTGAGTCAATTCCAACTCATAGTGACCTTATAGGACACAGTAGAACTGCCCTGTGGGGTTTACAAGACTGTAAATCTTCATGGAAGTGGACTGCCACATCTTATTCCTGCGGAGCAGCTGGTGGGTTCAAACTGCTGACCTTTGGTTAACAACCCAGTGCTTAACCACTGCGCCACCAGGGCTCCTCTAATTAGCATAATCTCTAGAAAAGAATCCTGCAGATCTAAAAAGCATAAGGTAAACAACTATAGGTATTGACCTGGAAAGCTACATAGATACAGGAAGAAAGTGTGAGAGGATAATTCCAAATTGTTAGCAGTGCTCACCATGAGGAGATTTGGAGGCACATTGCTGTGCTTGCAGTCAGCAACACCAGGAAGCAGCAAAACCACAAATCCTGCCCAAAACCGTATGATTTCTCTAACTTTATTTAATTAAGTTTTAATGAAATATAATTAAATCTTTAGAATCACCCCTTCACATAAAAGAGTTACTGCAGAGGGGTGGAAGGAGAAACCAGGGAATCCCTGGCCATATAAAATAAAGCGTAGCACTTAAACCATCAGAAACAAGGAGTGTGGCACATTGTCTTCAGGAGTCTCCTTCCTGGCTAGATCCTAACTCCATATCTTTCATCAGAATTGATTAGAGGTTCATGAGAGATTTACATGTAAAATATTAAACCATAATTTCTAGAGGAAGACATGGAGAACATTTTTTTTTTTTTTAATAATCTGCCAAGTGGGGGAGGACTTTCTAAATATGACTTAAACTCTGGCAGTCCTAAAAGAGGAGGTTGATAAATTTGACCACAAAAGTATAAAAATACTTCTATTTGGAAAAAAAAAGTTCCCGGAAGCAGAGTCAAAAGACAAG